TTCAGGCTAGGTAGGAATTTGCACAGTATAGAAAGACTCCTAAGTAGCGGATGGTAAAACGCGTTCGCAAGAACTCATCGCCAACCACCTTTCCGTCAACACTTCCTTCCACATGTAGCGCATTGAAGTTCATATTACAGGAGGAAATTTCACGCTTGCGGCACGGCTTGTGATGATCTGGCATGTGGGTAGGCCTCTGATATTGGCTTTCAATGATGAAATATGGAGTGCAATGGCTTGGCTGTCTGCTTCATTCTATCCTTAACACATGATCGATACAACTCGTCCGACTCTCAGTCTGAGGTACACCGTCTACGATGGCCAGCAACGCGACTGGAACGCATTTCCCAATGGTCCTTCGAGCCACCTCTATCACCACGCCGTGTGACCTCCATCCATGATGAGGTTGCTGCCCGTCATGAAGCTGCTCGCGTTGCTGAGCAGGAACAGGGCAGCCCCCTTAAACTCGCGCGTCTCAGCCAGGCGGCCCATCGTGTTCTCCGACTCCCACTTTTCCCTGAGTCCCGGGACCTCCTCAAAGTTCTTCTGCACCATGGGCGTCAAGATGTGGCCGGGGCTGATGCAGTTGACGCGTATGCCGCCGCTGCCGTCCTCCCTCGTCGGACTCCACTCCATGGCGAGGTTGCGCGCGAGCTGCAGCACGGCGGCCTTGGACGAGTTGTACGCCGGCGAGATGAGACCCTTGTTGGCGACGGACCCGGGACATGCTGGCGATGAAGACCATGCTGCCGTGGCACTTGTGCTTGAACATCTGCCGCGCCGCCGCCGTCGCCGTCATGAAGACGCCTGCGTAGTTGACCGCCATGATGCGGTTGAGGTCCTCGATCGTGTACTCGGCCGCCGGCATGATCTGCTGGATCCCCGCCGCCGCCACGACGCCGTCGAGCCGCGCGTGCGTCGAGGCGATGGACGCGATCTGCCGGTCGAGGCCCTCCGTGTCGGCGACGTCTTGCTGTCGATACGTCAGCGAGCCGGCGCTCGGGCTCGGCGTGCTGCTGCGTTTCTGGGCTTCAATGAACTCGGCGCTGGGCTCCGGAGATACGTCTAGGCAGTAGACTGTGACGTTTGACAGCAGTGTCAGCATTGTGTGGGCGGTTATGGGGGGGGGGGGACGGCTGTAACGGGCTCACGGACCTATGCCTCCGGCTTCCCTGACGGCCTCTGCCAGCTCCAGACCGAGCCCGCTTGATCCGCCCGTGACGATGAAGACCCTTTCTTTGAGATCAAAGTCGGCAAACGTCTTTTGGCCGACGTTGAAGTCTTTGGGCGGCTGGTCGTGGGTCGGGTTGTGTCTGGGCTCGGGGTTCATGGGTTTTGCGAGTTCTTGGGCGGCGTGCTGCTGGAACGCTCTTTTGCCGCCGCTTTGGCAAAATCGTGCCTGACACGCTTTCGATCGTCGCAGGAAGGCGCCTGTTCGTTGGGAGGATACGATCCTGGGAGCGACTCTGGATGCAAGAGACATGCTGGACGGTCGGCGGTCGGCAATCGACGTGCGAGAACTTTACGGATGGTGTTGTAGCGGATTAGGTCGGATAGTGCAGCTCTTCTTTAAAGAGCATCTGAGATCATGCGTATCTAGCTGTCCCCATGCATCGCGACGTCTGGGACGGCGGCCGAGGATTAAGTATCGCATAGCAACTCAGCTGTGACCTCACTTTGCAATTGGTCTTTGCGAGCAGCGTCGTCACCCGCCGTCTCAGGAGGGGATTCCAGGACGTACGTCGGGACGCAATCGTTGGGTTCAGCTGGAGGCTGTCAGGGAAAGGAGCTGCACGGCTGGAGAGAATACTCCGACATTACAGGAGGATCGTGTTGGCACAACCACCTTGGCGCTGAGTTCACATACCCAAAGCCGGAGAGGAGTGGCTGATCCGGTAATGCAATCTGATAGATGACCCGGGACAAGGTTCCGGAGTCTAAATCTGTACGGATCCGCATCTTATCAAAGAAATTGCGATATAACACACAGATGGTACGACCCGCCTATCCTCGTGGGCAGCAGTCGCCAGTCTCGGAGTCCCACACCGATACGAGACAGGTCGGGATGTGCTCTACGGCATATTCTTCCTCAACGGCTGCCCTCCAAGCCCAGATCATCAATCAAGAACGGTGTTGGGGTCACAATGTCGGCCTCAACGACCAGCAAGGTGACCAACAGAGGAGCACCCGGAACCACTGAGCGCAATAAAGGTCCGGCATGGGTGCCATACCGCCTGGAGCCGCCAGTTTTGGTCTTGCATGACTTCATCGCCACACACATTCATTGCGCCGCACGTGCGATCAAGAAATCAGGATTCAGGCTCCACTTTGACATCATGCGACAGACATTTGGATACGAAACCAGCTTAAGATAAAGACGCGAAGTGTCTCTACAAAGACGTTTTCACAGGTCAGCAAGGGAAGGTTTCCCTTGCCCCCGGAGCAATGTCCGGCACCGCCACTCCCAAACACGATTTGTCTGCCACAAAGAACCCACGTCACTCAGTGGCGGCCTACAAACTTCCGATGTTGCGTCCGTAGGCCAGGTGAAGAGAACGCCGTAATTCAAGGGACTCCGAGATCACCGACAAGCAACAATCGGACTGACTTCCCCGACGAGCCTCACACAACTTGCTTCAGCGGAATTCTTCCTCCCCTACAGCTGAAGAGACGTCCGGTCTCAATCTGTTGGTCTTGTCTCCACCAGCTCCAGGGCCTGCCAAATTTGCAGACGAACTTGCAATGATTAGTCCTGTGCGAACAATTCCAGGCGCATTCGTCTCAAACGCCACCTCGGAGTCTTGCACGATGGGGGAAACAAGGAGTGATGGCTCCGCTTGGATTGAATCGGGGGCTTCGTTGACAGTAATGTTCCTGGTTCTTCGGACAGTGATTGTGGTGGTCAAGTTATCATGCGAAACAGAATTCTTCAAAAAGCCAGAGCTGGTTGACGAAAAGTCGTAAGTCGCATCAGACAAGGTATTCCAAGAATCTTCGGAAGAAACGGCTATGCTGGGCGGGAAAATGGTAGGAATAGCAACGTCCGATGGCGAGGCAGTCAAGGAGCCAAATTCAGCCGGCTGCCAGTCTGTTTGATCATCTAGAGGAGGTTCACACGAACCATGAGCCCACTCGTCGATGGTGTCCGGTCCCCAAGCAACCAGGTCAGTGCCGCAGTCAGCATAGGGCGCAAGGTAAATAGCCTTCGTATCCACGTCAAACACGGCTGCTGTTCCTTAGTCTGCATTCTAGCCATAGATCGGAGGGCAGAATTTGATACCTGTGACGGCAGCAAGAAACGTCTCTCCGAGAATGAAGTCTGTACCTGCATCTCCTCGAGAAATCCCCAGAAGGCATGCGCCTGGGGACTCAGCATCTGTGACAGGGTCCAAGATCAGATCCTCAATGGCGACGTCAATATCGAAAGCTGGAAAGTCACCCGCACCACCGAAGCCAAACCGGATATACTCGGCTCCATCAAAGCTGCACGGCAAGCTGTAGAGAACCTCTCCATCACGTCCTGCTTTCGGCAGGGAATACGGGTCAAAAATACCAAGGATGACATCGAAGGCCTCGGCAGGAAACCGCGTCAGTCTGTTTCTGGTATTGAAATACGCCGGACGATCGTCGTTGGCAACATCCACCATGGAATCCGAGTCCGAAACAAGAATCTGAAGCTTGGCCAGAGAAACACAGTATCTGTGACCATGATCGAATTAGTGCGGCTCCAAGGCTAGAGCTAGTGAAGGCTTACGATGTGGAATGTTGGTGCGTTTGATCTTCAAGAAGACGGACATGGTTCATGGGCCCGTAGTACTTTCCGACATCTATACCACCGAGGGTGAGAGAACCTGCGTGACCTATGAGATCTTTTACGTTCCCTGCATCTCCAATTGAAATTTCGTGAACTTGCCTTCGATTACCAGTCCCGGGTCTCGCGAGCTTTCGTGAGTCAGTGAAAGGCTGAACGACCTGCTGTCAATTTGACCAGTCTGAACGAGCCTGTCCAAGAGACCGAGTCTAAAAACACCAGGAATCTCCTGCCCGAGTCCAATAACACCAACGGGGGACTGTTCATAGTACAGGTTCTGGTTCAGGCAAAGAAGAACGTCATATGAGTATCCTATTCTTAAACTAAATAATCCTCATGGGAAAATGAGGCTGTGAACGCACCAGCAAACACAATCATCTCATTGATCGCTGTGCTGAAAATCTTAGCAGGAGTTTCGAACAAGCTGAAGCTGAGAGAAGTGTTGAGCATTGATTCGGATGCAGCCGGGTTGTACAATCCAGAGATTTCAGTTGTGCGATTGTCGCTGACGTTGTCTTCGTGGTCAAACATACGATGCACGGAGCAAAGAGGGCTAGCCTATATAATATCAGACGTGGCGTCGACGAAGAGCCATGATTCTTGTGCGGGTAGCCCAATGGGGACTGCACATAGATTAGTTGATGATCCCTCTCTCTGGGATTGTTACAGGTATATGTACGCCTGACCATATGGTCGGGATCCCCAGGCTGTAGGTTGAAGGTATTGACCGGAGGGGGAAGTGAAAGCTTCCCTTCATTTTCAACTTCTCCGCCACTCTTGGTTGCATGCCGGGTTTGCAACAGTAGCTTGATAAACCCGTTCTGCTGAGTGAATCCCGGTCGCTCTTCGAGAAGACTTGGCAGTCCATGCGAGTTGCAGACGGCGAACAAAAGGACCAAAACGGACTCCATGACGGCTAAAGTTAGAGAAAGAGCCCAAATTAGAGGGTGATATCACGTTTCTGCTGCGGTACGGCACTCCCTTTTAACAACAGACGGTCGGGAATGGACATCATCGAGAGACACATTCGTTTTGCATACGCAGAACCCATATCGCACGCCGCGACTTAGTGACTTGTGCTCTGGATGTCTGGTAGATGACGAACGGCCCTTGTTTTCCTTTCGGGTAGGTAACAGCCCGCTCGTGGTAGCAAATGTGGTACGAACGGAAAAATTGCCGTGTCGATGTCGGCCAGAAGAGCCACAACAGCGAACCTACCGACCTTCGTATTGCCTCCGAAACACGCCTTGTACGAATCACACTATCTGTCACCAATGGCATGCTCGTATCGCAGACCAAAGATCAAAGTCAATAACTTGCTTCCGATTGCAACATGTCGCCGACAGTACATAGGAGTTGTCAAAGAAAAGAAAGAGTGGCAGTATGATGTGGGGACGGGCTCCGTCTTCGTCTGTGTTTGACGGTCTTGGGCTCTGTACAGACATGCGAATGTAGAACATCCCACGAACTTCGTTATCCTTAGGCAACTGTCGCAGGTCAATTTGCGGCCCGAAATCGTGGCCTCGAGATTAGATGGATGTCCTTCCTAGCTTGTCAGACTACAGGACAAGGGCCTGCATAAGGTTTGCGTGATCCGGGAAGCTGGGTCGCACCACTGCAACACCAAAAACGATGCAGCCTCCCCTGAAGCCAAGCAGCTGTCAAAATCTTTCCAAGAGCCAATAAGGCTTGTGCTGATAAATTTCTGCTGCACGTCCCCAAATGTCACGTAAGCGACCAGGAAGCAGCACACTACAGCGAGACACGAGGCATAAAGATGCCCTGAAATCCTGTTCGCCTCGAGGTCGTCGCTGAAGTTACGCCACAGATGAGCGAGGTGTTGACTCGCTCGCTTGAAGAATACATCCTTGCTCGCTTCTGCATGATGTGTAGGGAACAGTCTGGAACCTTTTCAAGGATCCCTGAAGCTGAATCGAGCTATCGAGCAATAGCTCATGCACATATGACGGGGTTTTCCGTCTCATGCTTCCCGAGTAGAATACATGGCAATTGCCGTTGCTTCACGCAGTGTTAGAAGTTGAAGACAAAAACCTCCATGACTGTTTGCGGAGGGGAGAAGAAGTTGAGACGACGCTGGTCGTGTGGTTTCGCGCGTGCGGTATAGTTGCGAGTAGTGGGATGTAGGGAGTTGTGATCGCTTAACGCGCAGCCCCCCAAAACGCTCCCGATTGTTCTTACGTAGTTACGCTGCGCCCCCTCCTGGGGGACAAGCGTGCAAATCATGTTCAGTAAAGCGCCTTGGCCTGCCTCAAAAAAAGCTGGCTTGGGAGCTTGTTGAGTTCCGCGGAACTTCCGGGTTGGAGCTAGGCCAAGTGGGACGTTAGGGCTGGCAGAGCATCACCGATACAACTGAAATTACGCCTACCGGGTCACTGTACCCAAACAGGCCGGGAGAGGCGGCACTTGAAGAAGCTGCTTTTGAAGTTCTGCCGCAGCATACCGTGAGAAACAAGACAAAGCATAGTGAAGTGTTGTAGACTTGCCTTCAGGCATACCTATGTGGTGTTAAGCACCCGCCAGCATTGGGTGCCTGATCAACATCAGGTACTTAATGTGTTCTGGCGTTGTTCGCTGTCCCCATTGCTCACACGATCAGACGCACAGATGGTAGCAACGAGTTGCCATCCTTCCATCTAAACTAACCCAAGGCTTGGTTCGGATCGAAAATTGATCGTCATGGAACCTTGCAAGCTTTGGAAACCCTCAAGCAGGTACAATGACCTATTACCAGGAGTTATCCGGCGAATCATGGTTGGCGACTTTGAATAGAATAAAGAACAGACGAGGGCGATCATAACGCCCGTAGAGACGAGGAGCCCGCGAGTCAACACCACGCCTAAGTAAGCCACTGCTCTGGCAAACTCCGCGTGGATCCCGCCTTCACCAAAGGAACCTTGAGATTCGTGGTGTCTTGGACCTCAAAGCATGGGCCTCGAATGCGGCACAACACGCGGAAGCTACAGCAGAACCCGAAAGGCAGTCTTCGATCCGTCCAGGAAGCCAAGCCGCCCTGCCTGGCAACGAAGGAAGACCGCGTTTCGTCAAGGACCCTTGGGAGCTGTGTGGCGCCACGAACGCCTCAGAGCACTCGACAAAGCACCCGGGACTTTTGCCCCCGGTGCCGGGTCGACCGTAGCGCACACTAGCAGCAATCCCTTGTTCAAGAATGTGCTCAAGCAGAAGTTCATAGGCTGATCCCCTTCCAGCTCCCCCCGCCCAGCGATTCAGGCTTTTTATCAGTACGAAAGCAGGGGCCAAGAGTCGTACCCCTGCCATTTGCCTGGCGTGCATGGCATCAGGGGTCGGCAGCACCGCCGGCTCCGCTGACATCTACAGTATTCTTGTCACTTCTTCAGCGAACCTGGATCTCGTGCATGAGACCAAACACGCACGCTATTTCTGCCCGTCTTCCCCCCGCATGGCTGATCACCCCGCTCGGTGTAGTCTCATTAGCCGTCCCCTTTTCTTCATCCAGCGGGGCAATCTTCTCGGCCGTTGCCACCATACCACGGGACGAGATTAGGCTCGAACCCAGTCTGTGCCCAAAGACACATCTCGGCAAGGCTGTGATCGAAAGATGGCTTGTGGTGGTTGCGATCATTTCCTTCCTCATCAGCTTGACGTCTCAGCTGTGGCACCGGATGTGTTCGAGGCGCAGGAGACTGTCCATCACTTCTGTTTCTGGCCGGCTTCGATTCTGCCCCAAATTGACTTGGAGGAGACTAGCTGTGCAAACTCTCGGCTGGCAAGTAAATGCCCTTGCGTCAGGCATGTCGCCCTTACTTTGAGGACCTCTGGCCGCACGCGATGGGCCGCATATGTGACAACCCCTGTCCACGCGCCTCGCTTGCAGCTGGTCGGGGGGTTTGACCTGCAGCTTTCCATCGTAATTTTGGCCGGAACTTTGAACAACGAACCCTGGCTGCCGCTTGAACGGTAGAAACCGTCCTTGGCCATTGCGGCAACCCCTTTACGAGCTGCCCGCCCGTGACAGTACCCCGTAAACTCTACTGTGAGTTGAGTGCGACTATTTGATGGCATTGCAACCCAACCCTTTCCTCATTCGACGAAAGCGACAGAAGCTGAAGGTGCCTAACTCTCTTTGCGTCTCGTAAAATGCTCGCAGTATTTCTTCCCCGAGCCTGCGAGGCAAGCCTTGTATCACTTCAGGGGCCCTAACTCGGGGTTGTGACAGGGGACATCCCACTGGCTGGTCACAAATCCCTTGACCTTTGTCACAGCCTGCATCGGATGGACTATCCCCATCCCTACCTGCGTGCAGGGGTGCCTCACGATCAGGTTGCATTTCCTGCCTCCGCAACCCTTGGCCCACGCCCCAGATCCAGCATGCCATTACATGGCCTGTGGAAAGACGAGTATCCTTTCCCGCTACCCCAGCGCAGGCTTTAATCAACACGATCCCATCCCCATCGATCTGCGTATCACTGGCGTTTGTCTCTCCTTTTCCTTCTGCCTTGTGGACATAACAGTGTCGATCTCTACGGTTCCCCTGGCTTGACTGGCCCGAGCCACCCAAATGCCCAGCATCTGATCGTCGGAAGCCTCGACACAAAGCGACAGCATTCCAAAGTGGTCGTCAACCCTAGATTGCCTGTCCGGAAACTTGCCTGCGAGTAGAACCTCTGGGGCATCCCAGAGACCACGGATCGCCCATCATGGGCAAACCTGATGACTATGGCCCGGTCATGAACGCCTCGTTGTGGACCTGCGTTGCGTTCGCTACCATCTTCCTCGGTCTACGACTATTCGCCAAATTCTGGAAACACCGTGGACTGTGGTGGGACGACTACTTCCTCATCGGCGCCTGGGTGAGTTCTGCCTTGAAAAGTGGTTACCTCTCGAACACCACCGCTAATGGCGGTCTCTTCAGTCCATGCTCATTATTAGCGTTGGCATCAACACCAAGAATGTCTCTCTAGGCTTCGGCAAGAAGCTCACAGCCTTTCCTCCGGATTTCGACTTCAGCATATTCGAAACGGTCGGTCTCTTGGGAAATTTGGGCGGCAACGCCTCCATGTTTGGCATCGCGTGGAGCAAGACATCGTTTGCCTTGACGCTGCTCCGTGTCGTCGAGGGCCGCATGAAATGGGCCATCTGGTTCATCATGATCACCGTCAACCTGTCCATCACCGGCATGGTAATCATGACATGGGCTCGGTGCAGCCCTGTGCAGAAGAATTACAAGACAACCCTGCCTGGTCACTGCTGGGATGCGAAGATCAACGCCGATTACATGATCTTTGCCTCTGGTAAGTCGAAATTATATTCAGTAGTCTTGTGTGTGCGGCATGCTGACGATGCCTCAGCCTACTCTGGAATCATGGACATTGTGCTCGCTCTCCTCCCTTGGCAAGTCCTGTGGGGGCTCCAACTGAACCTGAAGGAAAAGCTCGGAGTGGGCATCGCCATGAGTCTTGGCATCTTGTGAGTCGCCTGATCCACGCCCCCCCCCCTGCCCGTCGAATATCTTGTCGGGAACTGACGATCTACCCCAGCGCCGGTGTTATCGCCTTCATAAAGTGCTCTGTACTTCCTTCTGTCGGAGGGCCGAACTTCAACTGTGAGTATAAGCTATCCCCGCGTTTTTGTTCCCAAGATGAAGTCTTCAGGAGCTGATTAGATACAACAGACGACGGTTCACTTGTAATCATCTGGGTTGAGGTCGAGAACGTCATCGCCATCATCGCAGCCTCGATCCCCGTTCTCCGCGTCTTCTTCAAGGACCTCAAATCCTCGGCCCGAGGCTACTACGCGTACGGTACCGACGACAACACAAAGAGGTCTCGCATCGGCAACAACACTGTTGTCGTGACAGCGAACCGCACTGTAAACCGCCGCGGCTCGGTTAGCAAACACATGGGCGAGTCTGGTCTCGATGACGACAGCGACAAGAGTATCCTCGACGGCCGTCACGGTACGAGTCCCAGCTCTGGCGTCCTGGGCGGCATTACGCGCACAAAGGAGATCACCGTCGACTACGATGCAGCGCGGGACGGAGACAGTGCGCGGAGCGAAGGCTACGAGATGGAGCAGATGGGCGGCCGTAGACATGATCACCCGCACAGCCCTGGCATGGCCGTGTAAAAGCAGCAAGCAATTGTGATTTGATGTATTATTGAGTACTTAGCGAGGTCTGGCATCGTCAAATCCCGAAGTCATTCACACAGAAACCGGCATCCGTGTCTGAATATTGTTCTAGATTCGGCTATTCAAATATCTCCGTCTGCGCTCTGATAATAGCGGTAATATTATATCATTCGCATGACGATCTCCTTCAATCTGGATTGCAGCCAACTTTGCTCGCGAAATGACCAATTCGTCAGCACTTTCTTGGACAAGAAGAATTAGCAGCGTCCCAAAGCACAACAACCGCACCGGCACTCCAGCGCCACCCAATGACTCCCGGGCGCTGCTTGGCCCGTCTCCCCGAGCACCCTACCGAGCCTACCCCCAAGCGGCGTTCCAGGCTATCAACAGGGGCTTGATCCCCTGTCGACGGAGGCCAGGCACCCTTGTTCCCCAAGTCCTATTGCATCGGGGGCAATCTCTGTTTTCGAACGGTCACAAGCCAGCGACACGGAAACCGGTTCATGGATCGCTCTTCCCGCTGCCTCCTTCCTTTTCTCCCCCTCCATCGGGGCTGGGCAGAAATCCTTCCCTCAGGGGCAAGACGCAGTGGTGCGACAATGCCAGTCATTTGTCGCACGTGGTACTCGCTGTTCGAATCTGCTTGCCTGGCCGATGAAGAAGTGAAAGAGTCGATACCTTGCTTCCTGTGCACGTGTCACCATAGGCTCACTCTTGGCAACAGCAAGTGATGGGCATCGGGTCGTCTATATGAGCTTGAACGTAACCTTCCCAAATCCTTGGTCGTGAGAGCCTGGGTCCACACAACATCTGCCACGGCTTCCCTACGCTCGGACGTCCCTACCGATGAAGCCGCCGCCTATGACAAACCCCGTCTGTAGGGGACGGGCGGAACGGTGTAAATGATTTGCCCGAATAGTCGTTTCAGCAATCGAGCCCACAGCTCGCGGTGGCTATTTTCCTCAAGTGTATGCTTGGGTCGCAGGCAGAGATGGAGTTGCGTGCGCTAACACACTGATTGGTCGGAGCTCCTTCAATGAGACCTGGAGACGTATTTGCAGTACGCAGGCACAGCATTGGGCCAGACGAGGTCAAGAATCATATATCACAACCAGTTTTTCGCGGCAATCTGAGCGATTACTGCTGCTGAGTAGTGGTACCTTTCTTCTCACGAGACGTGGTGTATGCTTCCCAGCTGCTAGATGGTGTACGCATCAAGCCGGTCGAGGAACTCTTGCTCGTTCGGGAGACTCAGCTCACGGATCACATCTCGAAGATTCCAATGTCGTGGCAGCCCTGCGTCAGTTTCAAGTCTCTTCTAATCCTTAGAAACCCAATGTGAGGGCGGCGTCACACGCAAAACGGCCTCCAAGCTATTCTTCCCCAACTGAAATGCGACTTCTATAAATCCCTCAGATTTTTGGGGACGAGGGAATCCTTGAAAGTGTCCATCGAACGCAGGCAAAGCCATTGAAACCCCGAGGATGTTTTCCAACCACCCCTCTCGGGCCATCTTGTATTTGCATCCGCTAAGTGACCCGTGTCGCGTGCCACATCGGAGGTGGTGATGATCTGTGCAAAAAACGAGACATGA